GTGGGTGATGGGTATTGAGGAGGGCACCTTTTGGGATGAGCACTGGGTGTTGTATGGAAACCAATTTGACAATAAATTTCATATATAAATAAAAAACTAAATAAATAAATAAATAAAATAAAAAATAAATAAAAAAAAAAACTTAAAAGCAACCACACAAAAATATCACACCAATGATCTAGGGTCCTAAGTGTGTTTTGGTCTGGTTGTTGAAAGGATCTTGATAGATTAGAGAAAAAAGGGAGTGATAAGAAAAGAAAAAAAAGGAAAAAAGGAAGACATTTGAAAAATTGAAAAAATGAAATAGAACAAAATGGAATGATGGAAGTAAAGTAGAATTTGAAAAACTTACAAAAACATAAAAAATGTAGTAGAAGAAAATTAAAGAAAATTATTCTTAATAAAAAATGAAAAGAAAAATAATTTTTTCTTTTTCTGTATTCAATAAATTAAAAGAAAAGAAAAAGAAGAAAAAATTTAATAAAAGACCAGTGAACAGGAATTATGATTGAAATTACATCTGGTTTCCCATAGATGTCAAGCTTGAAGCACTTGATAGTCTGTAAACTAAGCAGATGCATTAATGAGTTTGTCAAGAGCATGGTTGGCCCTGTTGGGCAGGGTTTTCCACTAGATGGCACTGCTTAGCTTACTGGGGTAGATTGCTGATGCAAGTTTAGGAGTGCATGCACATGCTTGGAGGGGTGAACATGGTGTCTCCCAGCTACCCAGTCTCTGGTATCAGAACTCTGTGCTCTCCATGACTGGAAATCAAGCAACCCTCCTTTTTCTCTGGCTTCCGTCCACTCCCTGCTTCTACACTGTGACCAAGCCATCAGGCTGCCAGGTGGCACCTCCCTCCTGTGTTTTCTCTCAAATGGGGCTGTTTCCCATCCCCTCACTTCTGAGGTACTGTGGCTTTGATCAGCTGAGACCTTCTGGGGTAGGGTCTCACTGAGCAATGGCCAGGTGCCCGTCTGCCCCCAGGAGCATTCCCAGGACAGTTCTGCTGTCAATGCTCAGAGACCGTGGCTAGGTGCTACACCCCCTCACACCCCTGGAAAAATTTCCCACAGTCTTATAGCAGCAGTGTTTTAGGGATTATGGTAAATCACAACACGTATCTGGTACCAGCCTTCCCCCTTAACATACATGTTCCAGCACCAGCAAATGTGGTTGTTCTCCAGGGTCCACTGGGACCTTTGCCTGTGGAGTGGCCACATAGCCTCTACCAAATGTCCTCCCAGCAGGGAAACTGCCTCTCCCCATGTGGCCCATGGACCCCTTGGGCCTCGCTCCCTGCTTCTGGGGATTTGCCCTTCCCATTAGAGCACCACCAGGTAACGAGCTGTGGAGTTTCAGTCTCTGCACTCCACCTGTTTCTAGAGTCTTAATGGAATTTAAACCCTTTCCTTTCTCCTTCCTCCCTTTTTTTGTTCAGTCCCTTGCATACTCTTTCTTTTCTCTCCAGCTGCTTCTGAGCGGGGAGGATGCTTTCCCATACTCTCCCCCTGTCTCCATCCTCTCTCCCCAAACAAAAAACAGCTCCTTGCCCTCCGTGGCTTCTCTCTCCCCCAGTTAACCTCTCTGTGCCGCGTACCTGCTGAGTTCTGTGGTTCAAGTTGTGAAGATTGTTGTGTTAATCCTCAAGTCAGTTTTCTAGATGTCCAGGTTTAGTGTTGATCTGGCTGTATTTCAGGGACGAGATACACAAAAAAAGCTTCCTTGCTATTCCACCATCTAGGCCTCTTCCCTGCGTTTCTCAATCCTAGGGAGAACTCTCAGTTGCCCATCACATTATATGCTACAGAAAGTGATTGAAAAGGACATTGTGTTGGTTAGTCACTGCTTCTTTGATTTTGCATTTAAAATAATTTTAGAGCCCTTTTTCCTTCCCATTTTTACCGTAATTTCTGGGAGTATTGAGTAAGTTGGTTCAAGTTTCATTAGTTTTTTTCTGTACTGTAATTAATATTCACGTAGGTGACACTATATAAAGTTACACGTATTTTTGTTAGTTAACATTTCTGTAAGAATAAGAATATATTTCTTACAAGAAATCCAGGAATTTATAGCAGAAATACAGCTTTTTTCTGATGCTTACTATGGCTGACTTCAGCAAGCCTAGTGTCTTTGTAGGCTTTAGAGAAATGGGCTGTTTAATTAATTCTTGGAGGTTTAAAGTAAAATAGAAGTGAAGAAAAAAATAAATACAGTTTTAAGTGGATTTTGTTCATCTTGTAGTTTAAAGCAGCCTATTGTTAATTTTGGAATTCCTTTACAATATTTAACTTCAAGATCACCTTTAATGCCACTGAGATTTACTATCTAAATGAAACAATCAAAATAAGAGACAGTGATGTAAGTGGCAAGCACCTCTTGTCTATTTTCTCTTCGTAGTAAGATAATAAAGCTCAGGTCCAATGATCCAAGCATAACTCTATAGGAGCATCCCATGGCTCATAGCATAAAATCGCAAAGATAATATGTGCAGAATCACACTCTAATACAATAGTAAAAGCCCAATAGTAAGATAATGTATAACATTATGGTTTGAAGAAAGATTATTATTTTTTTTGTAAGATATTGCACATTCAAACATATTGAATGCTCAATGTGGCATTTATTTGGATGGGCAATGAAAGATTCATATAAATGTTCATGAATGATCACACTGTTGCATGTAATGTTCAGCAACACTTACCTAAATGTTTTCATATTGCCATGGGAAAATTCATATATAAAGCCTGAATGCACACATTTGAATATATGATTAATGAAAATGGATCTAATTGATATTACTCTAACATGATCTTTTTACTCTAATGTTTACATAGGTCTTTGTATTGTTTCCAAACATAAAAATAAGATGTGGTATGAGAGCTTTAAAGATATTTGACAGGTTATTTGAAAGAATGAAGATATAAAAATGCAAGTGAATTAGGAGCCATTTTATTATTTTTTTATAGATTGAAGAGAGACAGTTTTTGAATGAATGTTTTAGAACCTTGTGAAAATGGGGGTGGCTCGATTAACTCTGAGCACTTGGAAGAGTGCTATGTTTGACACAAAAGGCACAAGATTCTGCTTCTGTATTTTCCATTTCACCCAGTATGATTGCATAGCTGAACAAAAATTTTCCCAATCACTGGATAAAGCTTTGAGGGTAGAGGATAAGAATCAAGGAAGTGTAGGAATTTTACACATTTTAAGTATCCAGGGATAAAAAAGACAGTCATCTAGTTGGGGAGAATTCCTCACAAATTACTTTAACTCTTGCCTTGGGACCAATAAGAGAGGTTCAGAAAATGACCCCCCAGAAAACCCTAAATATATATCTACAGATTTACATATATATCTGATTCTGCTTGATTGGGAGTCAGAATAGGAACACCTTTACCAAAGTTTAATTATTTAAAATTTGCTGTGTATAATACTGATTTCTCTTTGGGAATGTTAACACTGAAGGCTAAGGTTGAAAAATCTCTTACCCTGGTATGATTAAAACTGCTTATTAATTGTCACACTAATTGTAGGGTTTTTACACATGATTCTTTGAAGTGTCTGAAATCATTAGCGCTCATGAGTTTTCATAGCTATCTTTATGTGCCACTAATATGTAAGGCCTCTGGGGCAACAGTAAACACATAGAGATTTAATAACAGAATACAAAAAAAAGAAAAGAAAAGAAAAAAAAGCACTACTGTTTTCCTTTACATCAGCTTTTCAGTGATTCCCTTCTAATGGATTTTCTATAACCTCCACCCCCTCCTCTTCATTACATCCTATAAAATGAGAATGTCTTTGTTAGTTTATCAAACATTTATTTTAAGTTGCCTGTCTTTTTGTCAGTATTTTAATAAGGTGTAAGAGATTAATGTACATGCTATTGTGTCAACTTGGAGGGTGTTTGTGGATAAATGAACATTTCAATTGATGAACTTTGGGGAAATCAGATTACTCTCTGTAAAGTGGGTGGGCCTCATGAAATCAGTTGAAGGCCTGAATAGAACAAAAAGATCAACCTTCCTGACGAAGAAGAAATTCTTTAGCAAACTGCCTTTAGACTTCATCTGTATCATTGGCTCTTCTCTGTCTTGCGCCTGCTAGTTCACACTGCAGATTTTGGCCTCCGAAATAGTCTCTATAATTTTATAGTCTCTATAATTGTGTGAACCAATTTTTATATTAAATATCTCTCTGCCCCCCCATTTCTCTCTCTACATGTATACCTTATTAGTTCTGTTTCTCTAGAGAACCCTAACACAGCTATCATATAAAATTTGGCAGTTCAAGTTAGATAAAAGTATATTTCAGAAAGTTAACCAGGATTGCATTATTTGCTTCTCCCGGTGGTTATATCTAGGTCATTAAATTCTCTCTGCTTGGAGAGCAGAGCTGGCTTAATGGAGAGACTGTATCACTAACTACATTGCCAGAGAGGGTTTATGACTACACACCAGCCATCTTTCTCAAGATAGTGACAATGAAAGCAGGTTATTTAATATTTGAAATCCCAAAATACCAGCAATAGCAAATGGGGAAGGAAAAGAGATAGAGTTTAAAATTACTACAAATATTAATATCACCTGTTTTAGGAAAAAAAAAGTGACAATATTAGATATAGAATAGCTAGATAGGGCAAAAAACTCCTAAAGTCACTATTAAAGCTTGACTTTTCTTTCAGATTTTCCCACTGAATACCTTTCTAGCCAGTAGAATCAGTAAGAATATGCAATGAAACCTTAAACTTTATTTTTTTTTACATAGTTGTGGTTTTGATTCTCCAAACAAGCAACATACACACTCAATGTATAAGAGCATTTTTGGCTATACAGTGTTGCTAAGGTGTACTTCAAAAGTAGGACTCTGCCATCCTAACACACTGGGAAACTGATACAGACCTTTAACTTCTTATAGATTTTAGAGAAAAATAGTAATTTATCTATTCTGTATTTTTTTCCTCAGAAATGTCCAGAAGTGTTCCTCAGAAAGAATGTGCATAGGTAACGAGTTTCTCAATAAAAAGCTTCTTCATAAAAACTACATAGAGGACTTATGCTTCCAGGTAAGGTCTTACTTCCCTCCATGAACAGCTAGAAAATTCAACAAAACATTTGTTTTCAGACCATGGGTTTCAGACAACACAGGACTGTGAGAGGAGAGAAACAAGAGTTAACTATTGTCAATAAGTGTGGCTTTCTCCTTACAGGCAATTTTTAAAATCCTAGAGCATGGAGGACTAACACAAATTACCTAGTTTAAAGTTTGGAGAAGCCATGCTGGCTGGAATATTGGAAGCAGATTGCCAGTGAAGAGGGAGTTACTCAGAGAAAGCTCTGGAAATCTGCATAAGGATCCTTTGGAGTCTTAGGCTCAATACCAATCTACATGTGTAAGCTTAAACTCCATGAGAGTAGGCAAAGAAAAATTTATAGGGGAAAGAATAATTTACAGGTAACTGTAAGCCAAACAATTTCTGTACCTCAAAAAGGGCCATAGATCCTTCAAAAACCCAGCAACCACAGTGAAGAAACCTTATTAAATACAAGGAACATTGTAGAGATGCAAGGCCATGGTTTAGTAATTGTGCTGAACTACATCCCTAGAATAGGTTACTCTAGACTAGGGGTAAGCAAACTAAGAACCAAATCTGACCACTGCCTGATTTTGCAAATAAAGTTTTTTTTGGAACACAGCTCTTCTCACTTATTTACATATTATCTATGGCAGTTTTTGTGCTACAACAACAAAGTTGATTAGTTGAGATAGAAACCATTTAGCCTGCACAACTTAAAATAGATACTGTCTCACCTTTTCCAGAAAGTTTGTTGATTCCTCCTGTAAGCACACCTGATCAATAGGACTTTCCTGCAACTCAACAGCCTGTCAGAACAAAGTCCAACATTGTTAAAAGTCAGACAAAAAAATTCAGTAATTGAAAATTTATTTTTATTTTTTTAAGTGTATTTATTTATTTTGAGAGAGTGAGCAAAAAAGGGTGAACAGGGAAGGGCAAGGAGAGAGAGAATCCTAAGCAGGCTTCTTGATGTCAGTGTAGAGCCTGACAGTGGGACTCTGAACTATTAATCATGAGATCATGATCTGAACCAAAATCAGGACTCCAAAGCTTAGCAGACTGAGCCACCCAGGAGCCCCAGTAATCAACAATTTAAAGTTTATAATGCCTGTCACTGAATCAATTTTTTTTTGTTGTTGAAACCAAGATTGATTGCACCGTGGGAAGATTCAGAGCTCCCTTCTTCTGTAGACACTCAGCTGAACGAGAAAACACAAACATCAGAAACAGGTAGGAAAGACTGAAGACACATTTTTTGGTAAGGAACTCCCAAATCCCAGCTTTAGTTAGGCTAGGGTCCATGAGACCTACAAGACTATGGCACACAAAGGAGCAGTTGCTAGTGAGCACAAAGGCACTCTCAGCAGACATACTATACCCTGCCTTGCCTCCTGCCAGCTCAGTGTGGAGGGAGCAGGCAAAATGGCCCATCTCCCAGTCTTTCCTGAAAGAGTTACATCTACCTACTTTGAAAGCACTGCCTAAGTTGGCTTCTAATATAGCATATATCAAGAAATACTATTTTGTTCCTCTTTTTATCTTTAGACTTCAGGGCTTTTGTGATTTTTATTATCATGTATGTGTTCCATAGTGATTTTAATGAAATTTGGAAGATGGAGAATGAAATACCCTTAGAATTTGCCTCACAATTGAGAGATTTACTGTATGTATTTTTGATGTTTGTTTTATTGGAATCATCATTGTCCGAAATTTAGTGACTGCAGTGCTATATTCATCCTATTAAGAAAGGTTTCTCAACTGAATCAATAAGTCCATGCCTATTCCTTTTAGATTTCCATGGTATGTTGGAAGGATAATCTGTATGCTTTGGCTGGATATTATTATACAATATTACCTTTAGATCGCTTAATACACTTACTTGATTAATTGTATTCAATTTACATTTTAATATAACATTCTTTTTATTATTTTATTTATTTTTTCATCATGATAAGTGCACTCCTTAATCCTCATCCCCTATTCCTCTCATTCCGTAATCCGCATCCCCTATGGTAACCATTGGTTTGTTCTCTGTCGTTAAGGGCCTCTCTTTCTTGGTTTGTCTCTCTCTCTCTCTCTCTCTCTCTCTCTCTCTCTCTCTCTCTCTCTCTATTTATCTCTTTTGCCTTTCCTTGTTTGTTTGGTTTCTTAAATTCTACATATGAGCAAGATCATAATATATTTGTCTTTCTCTGACTGACTTATTTTGCTTAGCATTATATTCTCTAGCTCTATCCATGCTGTTGCAAATAGAAAGATTTCATTCTTTTTTATGGCTAAATAACATTCCATTGTGTATATATTACCACATCTTCTTTATCCATTCATCTATCCATGGACACTTGGGCTGCTTCCATTGTTTGGCTATTGCATATAATGCTGCAATAAACACAGGGGTACATGTATCCCTTTGAATTAGTGTTTTTGTACTCTTTGGGTAAATACCCTGTAGTGGGGGTAGTTCTATTTTTAAGTTTTTGGGAAATCTCCACACCCTTTCCCACAGTGTCAGGATCAGTTTTCATCCCCACCAACAATGTGTCAGGTTTCCTTTTTCTTCACATCCCTGAGCTCCTGTTGTTTATGTTTTTGGTTTTAGCCACTTTCATAGGTGTGAGGTGATATTTCATTGTAGTTTTGATTTGCATTTATCTGAGAATGTGTGATGTTGAGCACATTATCAGACACATCTTTTTATGTGTCTATTGGCCATCTGTATGTCATCTTTGGAGAAATGTCTATTCATGTCGTCTGCTCATTTTTTAATTGGGTTATTTAGGTTTTAGCTGTTGAATTTTATAAGTTCTTTATATATTTTGAATACTAACTCTTCTTCAGATATATCATTTGCAAATATGTTCTCCCATTTTGTGTTTTGCCTTTTAATCTCATTGATTGTTTCCTTCACTGTGCAGACACTTTTTCTTTTGATTAGTCTCAGTAGTGTATTTTGGCATTTTCCCTTACCTCAGGAGACAGATCTAGAAAAATGTTGCTAGGCCAATGTTGGAGAAATTACTGTGTGTGCTCTCTTCAAGGATTTTTATGGTTTCAAGTCTCACAGTTAGTTCTTTAATCCATTCTGAGTTTATTTCTGTGTATGGTGAAACAAAGTGGCCCAGTTTCATTCTTTTGCATGTGGCTGTCCAGTTTTCCCAATACTATTTTTTGAAAATATACTATTTTTTCCCATTATATATTTATTCCTCCTTTGTTGAAAACTAATTGTCCATGTAGCTGTGGGTCTATTTCTTGGTTTTGCGTTCTATTCCATTGATCTATGTGTCTATTTTCATAATGTACCATACTATTTTAATTATTACTACTTTGTAATATAACTTGAAACCTGTAATTGTGATACCTCCAGTTTTGTTTTTCTTTTCAAGATTGCTTTCGCTACTTGAGGTCTTTTGTGGTTCCACGCAAATCTTCTGATTGTTTGTTCTAGTTCTGTGAAAAATGCTGCTTGTATTTTGATAGAAATTGCATTAAATATGTAGATTGCTTTGGTAGTTGATATGACATTCTAATTTTCATTGGATTACATGAGTCAGGTACTGTTACGTAAAAGTTTAGCTACCTATATTTAAACTTTTGTTATGATTTTTTTCAACATTATGCTGTCTTTATAAAGTTCATGGCACCTACCTGGAGTCTGATATATTGAATGACCCCAGACCTTTGTATGAAAGACATTTTTGAATCAAATTCTAGCATTTTGTTAGAGCTTTAACAACACAAATTATAACATTGTACTACAGTTCTGAGATGTACTAAAAATAAGAGGCATAAGGCTAATTGTACCAGGTGGTGCATTTCGTTTGTAATGACAAAGCTTATTACTACACAAAATGAGTTTATTGTAAAAGAATGGTAAAAATTCCTATCTAGCGCATCACCAATTTCTTTAATCACCCCCTCATAATGTGCCTTCAACAGCAATACCTGGTGCTGACAAGCTATAAAGAGTTAAATATTGAATTAATATTGTGCATTTATTATTAAAGGAAGTATTTAAATAAAGCAAAAGGAACTTTATATCTAATAATCTTCAGTTATGTGAATGAAAAATGAAGAAGACCATATTCTCTCTTAGGGAAGTTTATAGTAATTGCTGAGTTTCTCTAATAATAAAAATTGGATTCAACAAAGTATAAACACAAATAATCATATGTTTAAGAGGCTCAACATTTTCGTGTGTTAATTACCTTCAAAGATATATTCTGCCTCAAAGCCTCCTTACATGCTGAGGAACATATTGAGGAAATATAAACATGTCGTGTAAAATATGTTGTCATATATTCTGCAGTAAGTGGGTTTAAGGAAAGCCTGCCCAAGGCTTAAGATAAAATGAAAGAGTTTAAAGTGTTATCTGTCTATATCAAAAGCAGTAGTTCATTGGTTAAATGAATTATGGTACCCTAGTGAAATACACAAAATAAAATGCATGTGTGTAATAAAATAATGTGTAACCAATAGTTAAGTATTTTATAAGAATATTTGAAGTTAGTAAAATGTTCATAATACATTAAATAAAATTCAGTTGTTATAGAATAATGAGGACTTTATTATAAAAATAGTGTAGATGAATGTAATATGTAAATGAGAATATGTAGAAAATGAGATAAAGAGAGAGAGAGAGAGAGAGACTGACTGACTACTTAACACCTTGAAAGAATTATAACTGGTAACATCTGAGTAGTGGGATTATGTATTCTTATTTTTCTTTTTATGCTTCTAAAATATTTTAAATTTTCATTATAAGTATATATGAGTATTAAAATAAGACAATAATACCTGCAAATTTTTTTCATTAATGATTTTTTTGAAGACAAATGTATTTGTTAATTATTTCATACAGGCCATAGTAATAGTTGCTTATTTCAACAGAAAAAAGCTTTGGCTTTTTTTCTAAAATCAGGCAAAAATATTAACCAATCATTACCTCGTAGGTCTAATAATAAGATGATACTATATATTATAATTATTATAACTCCTAGACCCATCTGCTCCATTTTATACCCATTCTTCTATTTACCTACAAGAAATGAATCCTGTAATTTCTTTATTTCTCATCTCATATGTTAATCCCAAAAATGAGCATGAAGTTTGTGGTGGATGCTGGATGTGCCCCCATGAGACCTTCTTTCCATTAGAAACTAGGAATGTTGCATGATAATGATTGGCAGATGAGTGCTTCTCCCAGAAATTCTTTGTTTGAAGGGAGTTGAGCCCCCCAAGTCTCCATGGTCCCTTCCCAGGAGTGATCAGCTTCTAACAATGGCTAATGTAAAACAACAGAGGGCTAGCTGCTGTGCCTTGATTTAGGGGTTCTCTGAAAGTCCATCCCCATGTCAGATCAACTGTGGAGTTGTCTGATGCTACTGTTCCTACTGTATCCAGTTCTTCCTTTTTGTCTTCCTAATCCTGCTTCTTGTAGCCCTCATAGATAATAGTTCCTGAGAATATGGCCCAATGCACTTCCTACATGCACATCATTGTCCTTGGGCTTATTTTTCAGGGAACACATCAAACTGATTATACAAAATTGCTTCCAGTGAATATTTCCTGGAATTACACAGGAAGTATTAAGGACCTATATATGAAGGAGAGCCTATTCAGCGTATTTTTGTTCAAATTCCAATTGAGAGAAATGTCTTTTCTCTTACCCTCATAGTTAACATGGCAAAGGACCCTGAAGTAAGTAGGGCATTTCAGGAATGAGAGACCTGTGGTCTAAGCAAGCAGACAGACAGGCGCTATTTCCGTGGAAAATAGGTAAAGCTGTCAGTCAGTATATTGCAGAACATCTCATAGGGAAGCAAAGTCTCTGTGGAAATACACTGATGTGGATTCTACTTAAAGTGAAATTTTTTTTATTTCAAAGGCTAAGTATTTAGTGGTAATGACTCATAAAATCATTATCAGAAGGAAAAGGATCAGCAGAGTTTGGATAATTTAATTGAATTCAATTAAAGAAAAACTAAATTTGTACAATATTTTTCTAGCACTGTTCTGATGCTCGAAACAGAGTAGCAAAACATGTGGATTAAAAATAAATAAATAAATAAATAAATAAATAAATAAATAAGAAAAAAATCTACTTCATTACTGATGATAAGTGTTAAGGATAAAGAGAAAGTCAAGGAAAGTAATAGGTAATGCTGGCTGGAGTTTGAGACAAATAGGAGGAAGAAAGAAGGAGTAGGAATCTGAGCTAAGACCTGAAT